TATCTTTATAAATATACGCATAATTTCGCAGTCTTCATTCATTAATCCTATCTCCCTTTTCTTTCACAAAACCATGGCTTTGGCACTTCGCTCCTCAATTTCGTTTATCAATGTAAAAGATAATCAAGGTTTAAAAACTCGCGATGAGTTTTCAACTATAGTAAGTTTTGCTCAAACTAAGCTGTTGTCGTGCAAGCTCCATGCAAAGAGTGCAATGCACGAAGCGACTCGATTATCATTGTTACAAGGAAGAAAAAGTGAGAAAAGTGAGAGACTTCATGAGCTAGTAGCCCCTCATAGCCATAATGGTTTGAGAGTACCTGTTTTTGTAATGCTACCACTCGATACCATATCGATTGGAGGGAGTTTCAACAAAGTGAGGACGATGTATGCTAGTTTATTTGCATTGAAAAATGCAGGAGTCGAGGGAGTCATGGTTGATGTGTGGTGGGGATTGGTGGAGAAAGAAGGACCTTTGAAATATAACTGGGAAGGATATGCTGAGCTTGTAAAGATGGTGCAAAAGCTTGGTTTGAAACTTCAAGTTGTTATGTCTTTTCATCAATGCGGTGGCAATGTTGGAGACTCTTGCAGGTATGTAATAGGAAGTCAATTGCCATTTTTTTCACTTAAATTACGCATAATCCCTTCTACTTGTGTGTGTGTGTATATATATATAGCCCTCGTCTGGTTCAGATAAAAATCAGATTTGTAGAAAATTTTGGTAAAGTAGTTGGAATGCATGATTAAAATTCTGATTTAGATTTTAATCAGCTTTTTAATGAACTTTTTAAGCAGAAACCATAAGATTATTTAGAAATGTTAAGTGTGACGGCCATTTTTGTGACTTAATAAATAGTTTATGTTGTATTTTTGCAGCATCCCTCTACCTCCATGGGTGCTTGAAGAAATGAACAATAATCCTGATATTGTGTACACCAACAAATCAGGGCGACGCAACCCTGAATATATATCGTTGGGCTGCGATTCATTGCCTGTGCTAGGAGGTCGAACTCCGATTCAGGTCTACTCCGATTATATGAGGAGTTTTAGAGAGAGATTCCACCAATGCTTGGGAAATGTTATAGTGGTAAGCCATTTTTAACATTCTTGGATAGTTATGCTCATTATCGTAGTAGTTTTAAGTTAGTTTCTATTATTTCAGGAAATTCAAGTGGGGTTGGGGCCTTGTGGAGAGCTAAGATATCCATCCTATCCAGAAAGCAATGGCACTTGGAGATTTCCAGGAATTGGTGAATTCCAATGCTATGACAAGGTACATACTTATCAAAAATGAGTAGCTAAAATCTTGTTCATCATTGACCAAACATGCATTAAGTTGAACATTTGTTATGTAAAAACAGTACATGAGAGCCTCATTGGCAGCTGCGGCTGAGGCGATTGGGAAGACTGACTGGGGACTCGAAGGCCCTCACGACGCAGGCCTATACAACCAATTACCGGAAGAAACGGGGTTTTTCCAAAGGGAAGGCACATGGAACACTGAATATGGGCATTTTTTCTTAGAATGGTATTCTGGTAAGCTAGTCGAGCACGGAGATAAAATCCTGTCAGCTGCACAAAGAATATTCGAAGGAACCGGAGCTATACTATCAGGAAAAGTAGCTGGAATTCATTGGCACTACAACACAAGATCACATGCAGCTGAATTAACTGCTGGATACTACAATACTAGGAATCGAGATGGTTATTCGGCAATAGCACGAATGTTAAGTAAACGTGGAGTGGTGCTCAATTTTACGTGTATGGAAATGAGAGACGAAGAACAGCCAGAGAGGGCAAATTGCTCGCCTGAAGGTCTAGTTCGACAAGTGAAGATGGCTACCAAATCTGCTGGAACACAACTTGCTGGAGAAAATGCTCTGGAGAGGTATGATTCTGGCGCATATTCACAGGTGTTGGGAACTAGCCATTCAGATTCTGGAAATGGACTCGCTGCATTTACGTATCTAAGAATGAATAAACGATTGTTCGAAGCTGAGAATTGCCGCAAGTTCGATGAATTTGTGAAGAACATGTCAGAAGGTGGTCGAAACGCGACACTTCCCGAGAGTGACACGAGCAGGACGAACCTGTATGTTGGATTCCTTAAAGACCATGATTTGCACAAGAAGACGAGCATAATCATGACTGGCTGTCTGTAAAATTATTAATTTAATAGTAGTGATTCTTTCCTTGTACAAAACATTCTATTCATTTGCTTCATATTTGTTGAAGTATATATGAAATTCTGTTTCTATGTACTGGGATATAACTACTGGCTACTGATTTTGAATTATGTATAGCATGGTTATTTTGCAATAGAATATAGCAACTTCCATATTTTTATGACAACTACAAATGGCCACACCTGTAAATTTAATCCATGGAATGATGGAAATACTTTGATGTACAACCATATTTTCTTAAACGGAACCTATCAATCTGTTTTGATGTACAACTACTTAATGATGATATATCATATAAGCAGAATTTCTTGCATTCAAAGCATTTTCCTCAAAATCGAGATTGGTAATAAACGTCGAAATATTGTTGCGCCTAGAACAGAATGACGGTTCAAACTGCAAATTTTATAGGAAGAATTGAAAGAATATGAGCAATCATTTCCAACAAGGATGGAAAAAGGTCACTATGAAGAGAATGAGGTGCAAAACTGAATTTCACCTAGTCACATTCCTCCCTAGAAATTTTAAAAATCCAACACAATACCCTGAGTACACAATATTTGAACTGCAGCTTGACAAAGAAACAATGATTATTTATGTAAAATGGTTGTGCAACCTACGTGCTAAGAACCAAAATAGAGTAAAAAGAATAAAGCATAGAAGAGAGTTCTGAAAAAAAAAAAAGTCCTAATAGCAACATCGTTTTCTCTATATGCCAATTTCTAGTGGACTGGCTAATTTTTTATTTATATTCATTCTATTGAGGGGTCTATTTCTCCAAATATTTGAGGTAAAGAAACAGTATCCATTTGACCAAATGACGACTTTTTTTATGGGGTGCTTGAGTTTGGCCCGACTAATCCTGAGGAGTGGCGGTCTTCTTCCAATTCCCCACCCGGGTAAATTCGGATGCGGTCACAGCTCATACACACTTGAGTCGGATGTTCAAGATGCGATTCTCCTCTCTGTGTACCTCCCTTTACGACGTGCGAACAAAACCCCAGAAGGAGGACAAAGCCCATTATAACTTTGCCTCCATGGGACATCTGCCTTCCAACATAAATGTTGTCTTCCAGCTGCGGGATGCTCCTTGGAGAATCCTCCTATTTTATCATTGCCCCGTGCCCGTGGGAGCAAATGACGACTTATTTTCTATCAAGGAGAACTTGTCAATATTTTTTGAAGTCCAACTTTTCAAATTACGTGCTATATATGGTATAAGCAATCAAATTCAATGGTACCTTGCTTCCGAAAGCGAAAATTGAGAAGGTTTGAGAAACTGTCTGAACAGTCATCAAGCCATGAAGGAGGGTTGCTTGCAGTGCCCGAGTTACCTGCACTTCCGAAAAATGTTAGCAGTTCTATATTCTTTTATCAAAGAACATGGGCACACTTGGTTTCATTAAATAATGAATTAGAATGGAAAAGTAAAATTTTCAATTGACAAATACAGCCATTATTTAAAATTAAGTCCAATGTTTGTAGATTGGTAGACAACTATGAAATTTTGCTATTTAAGCATAGGTGTGGAGATAAAGAACGAACACATGCTTTCATATTGAACTACTTTTCTTCCATAATTCAAAAAAATTTACTTCTTCTCCCTCTCTCTATATATATCTCCATCTTTATTTGTAAGAAAATTGATGTTTCATACGAGCATATTTAAGAAATTTTACAATAAAAAAACCTTTTCAATAAAATATTAGAAAGTAGGTTGCTTTTCACTACGTACATGGTAAGAAAAAAAATATTTTATTACATCTATTTTCTTAAGGCTTGAATTTCATGTCTTGCCACATTTTATGCCTTTTCAAGAGACTTTTTTTTATATACATCATCATATGTATAATAAAGAGCATCTTTAAATTTAGAAGGTAAAATATTGTCAATGGTCAATCAATTCAAATATAATTGAATAATTTAAAAAGTAGAATATTAAAATATGGCTATATTTGAGCCACATTTTTTCAAAAAAATACATTTTTAAGTAGTGATTTGACATCATTTCAGTCACACATTCTTCAATAAAATAATATTACCCGCAAATTCAAAACTTTTCTTTATTTTTTAACCACACATTTTTCATCAATGTACTATTCAAAAATGCATTCTTAAAAATATTATGTGGCTCAAACTAGCTTATTGAAAAGAAAAAAAGAAAAAAAAGTATGTTAAAACTTATTTTTATGCTTTAACTCTCTAAATAGAGATTAATATATTATATTTAGTCTCTTAAAGATGTTCAACCTTGTAGTTAAAGATGCATTAAATGTGATTGTAGTGCAATATTTATTCTTATGATTACTAAATTATTTTCCAACTTCAAAGTTTTCTACATCAGCATTTGTATTCTTCTTATTGTCATTGTTCTCTATTTTCCTATAAGATATTTTGTTTGAATATGGAAATAGCACCAAATTTCCAATAAAATTGACGGGTCAATAATTGCTGTTAGAGTTAAAATTGTAATTCAAGATTGCCGAAGTGAATGTACAATAAGTATGTGCAATTTTATATCCTATGGCGATTCTGAAATTAATAGCAGAGTAATGTTATTTGTAAGCACGATTCATAAATATCACAGTCTATGTGACCGTGGATAAATGTCAAGTATTCTTATGAAATTGGAATAAATTTTAATTTATGAAAAAAAATTCGTTATAATAGCCTCATCAACACTATTGATGAATATCATTATTCTTCTAGATATGATTAGGAAGCATTGTACATATATATTAAGCCATTGTTCAACCCCATTTTTCAGAATTCATTTTTTGACGAATGTATGGTTATAAAGTATGAAATTTTTTTGAATTTCGTGTATATTTAGTTTATTAAAAATGTGTGATTAAATATGAATTTTAAAGAATAAAGCTTAGGGGCTAATCTTCCATTCTAATTCATTCAAGTAATTACACCACTAATTGACCAAAAATAATTTTTATTCGGTAGACATTTTAAACAGTAGCCTAGAGATCTTGTGCCTAGACATTCATCAGGGAAAAGTGGACATTTTAAACAATTTCATTATTATTTCTATATTTTACCCTTAATTTAGTTTAATTAGTTAATTTGACTGCTGAATATTAATAATTTATAAATATGCTTTGTTTTTTGTTAGATGCTCGGTTGATTGTGAATCTAAACCTTCTATCACAGTTTAGTTGGAGGTAAATAGTAAAAATAATATTTCTAAGCATTAATAAGATTATATAATGGCGAAAATAGAAATAAAAGAAAATATTTAGTAGCTAGCCAAATAATTATATGTCTATTTCAAAATCTATTTCTTGTTTCTCACCCCCGTGTACAAGTAGAAAAGTTCTTTTTTTTTCATGTACTATGAATATGAAAAAATAATTATACGTATTATTCGGGTTCTCCCTTAACATTTTTTACTCAAAATTGTGATACATATGTATGTAAATTGTTTGTTATGATAGGAAGATGATTAAATTCATTTATAATTGAGACAATTAGATATTTAAATTCTACACATTAATGTTGATGATAACATAGAATAAGCTCCACAAACTAAGTATTGGTAGACATGAGGACAACATATAAAACAATCAACATAAGTGAATCAAACTGAAATATCAATGTCGAGCAGTTGGATAAGACTCACCGCACGGTATCTACCAAGATTAATCTCTTTTTATTTTCTTCGATAAACTACCGCATGTGAAAATGATGTCGATCACATACATTGAACGGTCTTTATTTTTCTATAGTTATTATTCATTGTTGAATTATTTAATTACTTTTTGATAGACTAGTATTGGAAATGTTCATTAGTGGGTCATATCTAAAAATCAACTAAAAAGTATTGTGAACTAAAATATTTGAAGAGCTTCTTTTTTTTTCATCCACATATGTATATGGATGGAACAAAGTTTGTGGGATTTATTTGGGGTGGCCAACAGTGGCGAATCCAGGATTTTAATTGAGCACGGGCGGCCGTTGACTGTCGACAGTCGCAATAATAACCAATGCCGTGAGTTGAAATTACTTAGCCCCCGTTTGGCCCCCATTATTTGGATTTATAATGGGGAAATAATGTTTTTCTGAAAAAATTAAAAATTGATAGTTGTAAAAGAATGAAAAGTTTTCGATTTACGTGTAATATTATTTTATTGAAAATTGTGTGGTTGAAAATAGAAAAGAAATTTTTTTAATTTAAATTGATAAGTTTTAATGGGGGTCAAATTAGGGCTTATATCGTAGTTTGAATTATAAGTGTGAGTGTACGTTATCTACCATTGTAATAATGTTTATTGAGTAACAATTTGAAATTTGAAAATTTGTCCAATTATTTACTTTCTTGATTCGATCCACTAATAATTTCAGTTTAATAAAAAAAAAATTGATTATTTTAATAATTTAACTGTATGGTTGAATTTTATTTTTCTAAAAAGGAGGGTGTATATCATTGGGATAAAAGAATATATAGACTTTTGTTGCTTTGCATTGTCAACATCCATTAAATACCATGGTGGTCAAATTGTCCATTATTCTAATGGAGATCACAGGTTCGAATCTTCCTTTTGCACCAATTTTAATGCCTATTTGCTCCAAAATGGTGAAAAATATTATACTAAAATCATTAAAAAGGGAATGCAACAATAGAGAATCGAACCTTGGACGCCCTTTTCACCACTGTGGCGCTCTAACCAGTTGAACAACAAGGAGTTGGTGTGAATTGGGGGAAATCACAGAAATATATCTAAACAAATAAATACTTGGACAGCAAAAAAAATTGAGCTCCGGCGATCCAACACGGGCGGCCCCGGGGGCTCGCCGGGTGCTGGATCCGCCACTGGTGGCCAAAGGAAAGCGGCCCACTTGTGGTACACCAAGTTGACGCGTAGAAATTTTGAAAATTTTAAGTTGACGCGTAGAAAAATTGAATGAGATATTTTCAATTAAATAGATAGGTTTTGATATAGATATTTTCAATTACCAAGGACATTTCTCTTTGAGGGCCCTATATCACAGGGGGCCGAGCTAGCCCCTCTGATAGGTGGCTCGGCCCCTTGTGATACAGGGCCTATATCAGAGGCCTCTCTCTTTGATATAGGTGGAAAGATATAGAAGGTCATTCATGCATCATCGAGTAATGTCGATTATTTTGAAAATAAAATAATTATTTGGTAAATTATTCTTGTGATTAAGTTTTACCACCAAATGTGATCCTTTATCTAGGCTTTAAAATTTGAAAAACTTAACAGCCCACTAAAATGGTAAATTACATACAATTCTCAACTTTTTTGCATTCCCAACTTTCACTTTTTACATCAAAGTGTTCTTTTAGACGGTTTTCAAAGTAGATGTTAAGTGCTTGTTTCTCGAAATACATTTTTCTTTCTTTTTTTCAATTATATATTGCTCAATAAAATAATATTACTCGTAAAGTCAAAATTTTTTTTAATTACACATTCTTTTTCAATCTACTATTTTAAAATGTATTTTTCAAATTTAATGGGGCAAAACAGGTATTTTAAGCCTAGTTTGAGCTCAATTTTTAAGAATAGATTTTGTTAAAAGTGATTTTTTTTTTAAGTATATGTGATTAAAATATTGAAAAAAAAATTAAATTTAAATGCAATATTATTATACTAGAAGTACATGTTGAAAATAATTTTTGGGAAAAATGAATTTTAAAGTGTAAAGTTCAGTGTTTAATTTAAAGATGCAAAAAGAATAAATATAAAAAGTAAATATATACAAGAAAAAAATAACCAACATGAACCCCCCACGCCAAAAAAAAAAAAAGAAAAAGAAAAATCCCTTATCCACTCTAGAAATTCGGGAAAAAAAATCTGACAAATCATTACGTTCAAAAAATATCGATTTATATCAAATAATTGGTACAAAGTCATGCCAAAAACCCGTGATTATGTGAATATTTAAACTGAATTTTTGACACTTCCACATAAATCTAAATTTTTTAGGAGAATGCTACGTGTATCGAATTTTTTTTTACCTAATTTCTTACCGACTACTAACATTAGAGGATAGAGACCATATTTTGAAATTTTTTTATTCACATTGGTTCCGCGTATAATCTTGTAACATTAATTCTCCCGTATAATCTTACTAATTTTTTTAATAATTTTACATTATTGTTCGAGAAGTTAGGATCATTACGTAGTTAATCCGTCACCCCTCTGAGACATTGACATGAAATTTCCTTCAAAATACCAAGTTTTTTGATATTTTGCACCTTTCCTCTTTAAAAATTTCCTTCAAAATATGACAAAATATCAAACAAGAGCAGAGCCCACCGAAATTGCCTACTTTATAAATCCAACGTAGAACTTATTTTTATAAATATACGCATAATTTCGCAGTCTTCATTCATCAATCCAATCTCCCTTTTCTTTCACAAAACCATGGCTTTTGCACTTCGCTCCTCAATTTCGTTTATCAATATAAAAGATAATCGAGGTTTAAAAACTCGTGACGAGTTTTCAACTATATTAAGTTTTTCTCAAACTAAGCCGTTGTTGTGCAAGCTCCATGCAAAGAGTGCAATGCCATTTTTTTCACTTAAATTACGCATAATCCCCTCTTCTACTTGTATATGTATATGTATATGTATATATAGTCCTCGTCTGGTTCAGATAAAATTCAGATTTTTAGTAGATTTTGGTAAAGTAGAAACCATAATATTATTTAGAAATGTTAAGTGTGACATCCATTTTTGTGACTTAATATATAGTTTATGTTGTATTTTTGCAGCATCCCTCTACCTCCATGGGTGCTTGAAGAAATGAACTGTGAGAAATGGAGTAGCAGGGAGGCGCCTAGGTCGGCGCGGCGCCTAGTTTCTGGACTGGGCAGAAACTTGGCGCCTAGGCCCCCGATTCAGCTATATATATAGCTGAGTTTTCCTTTCATTATGACATCCGATTTTTAGAGAGAAAGCTTGGTAGAGAATATAACAAGAAAGAGGTTGTTCTTCTTGAGTATAAATTCAAAGCTATTTTTTCTTTCTTGGGGATTAACTTGAGACTTGTTCAAGTAATCTAATCCATTGTTCCTCATATATATTGAAAATCATTTCTTCCCCAATTTTCTTATCTTTTCTTTTTCATCTTCAAGTGGTTTGGGATTTTCACATTGCAAGTTTATTTGTTCTTGGGCAATCTTGGGAAGTTAATTTTACCAACAATTTGGTATCAGAGCATCTTCTTAAATCAGCGTGGTTAAGCTCCGATTTTTGGTGGGTGGCTTGAACTTTGTTGTGCACACAAGGTGTTTGTGAAAATTCCCAAGTGAACTTTGTTGTTCTATTTTCGGTAAACAAGTAGATAAATCATGTCTACTAGAGGAATGGTGAAGATTGGGAAGTGTGAGATAGAGAAATTCAATGGGAAGAATGACTTCTCATATTGGAGAATGCAAATGAGAAATTTGTTAATTTCTCAAAAGTTGCACAAGGCATTGACGGGAAAGGAGAAGAAGCACATAGATATGTCTGATAAGGATTGGGAAGATCTAGATCTTGAGGCACGAGCATCTATCATTCTATGCCTTGAAAGAGATGTTGCTTTCTTGTTGATGGTGAGGAAACAGCGACGGAGGTGTGGACAAAGTTGGAGGCGAATTTCATGACGAAGACTCTAACAAATCGGATCTATTTGAAATCCAAATTGTATACTTGCAAGATGGATGAAGGTACACCAATCCGGGAGTACGTCAACAAGTTTGATAGGTGCATATCGGACTTGAAGGACATTGATGTGAAAGTAGATGATGAGGATCAAGCACTTCTACTACTTCTTTCGTTGCCAAAGTCTTACGAGAACCTAGTACAAACATTGATGCTTGTGGGTGATAAACTTGTGATGGAGGAGACTAGAACGTCACTTCTAGCGGACGATCTTCGAAAGATTGCAACTAGTGGCATGTCTATCATTGGTAACAAGGAGCAAGCTCAAGGATTGTTTGTAAGAGGTAGAAGCAATGTGCGACCAAAAGGCAAGGGAGAAAAATCTAGATTGAGTTCTAGACCTCTTGCGGAAAGGCCTTGTTTCAAATGCGGCGAGCTTGGGCATTTCAAGGCGAATTGTACTAACAAAAGAGGTTGGAAGAAGAACAATAAGAACAACAACAACGGAAAGGTGCAAATCAAGCAAGATGTTAGCTATGCCTCGGAAGGAGGGGAAAGCGATGAGTGCTACACCATCACTTATGATGAAGAAATCTCCGGTAAGTGGATTCTTGGCTCTGGATGCTCTTACCATATTCGACACTTTCAAGAAGTGGAAAGCAATGGTTGAAAACAGAACAAGAAAGAAATTGAAGACACTGTGATCTGATAACGGTACTGAGTATACAGATGGTGCTTTCAAGGAGTTCTGTGTTGAGGAAGGCATTGCGAGACACTGGACAGTTAGAAATACACTGCAACAAAATGGAGTCCCAGAAAGACCGAATCGCACATTTCGAGAGAAATCGATGTGTATGCGATCCAATGCTGGTTTGGGCAGAGTGATGGGCAGAGTCGGTTGCAAATGCTTGCTACATAGTGAACCGATCTCCATATTCAAAGTTAGATGGAGATGTACCTTAGAGGGTATTGACAGGACAACATGCAGATTATGAGAAACTCATAATATTCGGATGTACAGCCTACTATCACGTCAACGAGGAAAAGCTTGATGCGAGGGCCAAGAAGGCTATATTCTTAAGGTATGCGGCAAGTGTAAAAGGCTATCATCTATGGTGTGTAGAGGATTCTAAGTTCATAATCAGTAGAGATGTTACTTTTGATAGCTTCGTTGAAAGCTACAGTGCCCGGTGGTGATGATGTTGAGACTACAAAGTCTCAAGTTGTTGACATAGAACCTAGAGATCAACCTGGTTCTAGTCATGTTCAAGAGGAGCATCATGCAGACACTCAAGATGAGAGTGATGATGAGCTTGAACAAGAGGCGGTTCAGCAAGAGAATGTACAGGCACAGCAACAACAACAGCTTGCAGATAACTTGACTTCCTCTAGGCCATGACGTACTTACAAGCAAGTTCTAAAGTTGGGGTCAGACGAGCCTTTGAGGCACTATGGGCAGACAAATTTGGTTGAGTATGTACTCTCGGTGGAGGATAATGAGCCTGCCACTTTCAAGGAAGCTATTTTAAACAACAATAGTGAGAGTTGGTTGGCAGCGATGGAAGAAGAGATGGAATCACTTCACAAGAACCAAACATGGGAGGTTGTCCCATTGCCCATAGGTAAGAAAGCTATTGGTTGCAAGTGTTGTACAAAAAGAAAGAGGATCCTACCAAGCTCGGTGGTACAAGATTCAAAGCAAGGTTAGTGGCTAAGGGGTTTGCACAAAGAGAGGGAGTTGACTACAATGAGATCTTTTCTCCGGTGGTCAAGCACACTTCCATTCGAGTGCTATTGAGTATTGTTGCTCATCATGATCTTGAGCTGGAACAACTCGATGTCAAAACCGCCTTCTTGCACGGGGACATGGATGAGGAAATCTATATGCATCAACCTGAGGGCTACAAGGTTGAGGATAAGGAACGTCAGGTATGTCACTTGAGAAAATCACTATATGGATTGAAACAATTTCCTCGGCAGTGGTACAAGCGATTTGACTCCTTCATGCTAAAGCATGGTTCCTCCAGAAATGAGTATAACTGTTGTGTTTATATTCGAAAACTCCGGGGAGGTAACTATATCTATCTTCTTTTGTATGTGGATGACATGCTTATCACTTCGAAAAGCAAGGTGGAGATAGATAGGTTGAAATCTCAACTTGGTAAAGAGTTTGAGATTAAGGATATGGGGGCTGCTAGGAAAATACTGGGTATGGAGATTAGAAGAGAGAGGGCGAACCGACGAATGTTCTTGAGTCAGAAAGGCTACATTGAGCGGGTTATTACTAGGTTCGGGTTGCAAGGTGCAAAGTTGGTGGTGATTCCATTGGCTCCACATTTCAGGCTCTCTGGTAAACAATTTCCTACTATACCGGAAGAAAAGGTACCCATGGATTGTGTACCTTATGCTAGTGCAGTTGGCAGTTTGATGTATGCCATGGTGTGTACACGCTCAGATATTTCACAGGCGGTTAGTATGGTCAGTAGATTCATGGCGAATTCGGGGAAGGCACACTGGGAAGCTGTGAAGTGGATCCTGAGGTATTTAAAAGGTACCGCCGATACGGGTTTATGTTTTGGTGGAGATGCATGTCATATAAGTGGGTTTGTAGACTCGAATTATGCAGGTGATCTAGATAGACGACGATCTACTACTAGATATGTGTTTTGCATACATGGTGCCCCAGTTAGTTGGCGATCGATGTTACAGGCTATAGTGGCTCTTTCTACTACAGAGGCCGAGTATATGGGCATGGCAGAGGGAGTGAAGGAAGCATTGTGGTTGAGGTGTCTTCTAGATGATTTAGGGATTGAGCAGGATTGTGTGGACTTGTGTTGTGATAGCCAGAGTGCGATTCACTTGGCTAAAAATCAGGTTCATCATGCTCGAACCAAGCATATCGACGTCAGGTATCATTTTGTGCTTGATGTCATAGAGGAAGGTGATATTTCTCTCTTGAAGGTACACACAAATAAGAACCTAACAGACATGTTAACCAAAGTGGTAACGGGTAGCAAGTTTCAGCATTGCTTGGACTTGCTTCACATTAGTCCGTGCTGATATGCCCGAGTGGGTATGGCCCTTCAGGGCGGGGTTGAAATGAGGTGAAGAGTATATAAAGGTGGAGGTGAACTACGGAGACTTGATCCCGAGTTTTGGGTACGTAGGCAACCATGGTTTGAATGGTGCAGCCGAGTTTGGCGCTTGCTGCTTCTTCTTGTGTTCGTCCAAAATTTGAGGTCCATCAAATGATGTACGAGGTGGAGAATTGTAAGAAATGAAGTAGCAAGGAGGCGCCTAGGCGCCCCCCCGATTTTGCTAAAGCAGAAACTGGTTGCTTAGGCGCCCAGTTTCTCGACTGGGCAGAAACTTGGAGCCTAGGCACCCGATTCAGCTATATATATAGCTGAGTTTACCTTTCATTATGACATCCGATTTTTAGAGAGAAAATAGGAGAGAAAGCTTGGTAGAGAATATAACAAGAAAGAGGTTGTTCTTCTTGGGTATAAATTCAAAGCTATTTTTTCTTTCTTGGGGATTAACTTGAGACTTGTTCAAGTAATCCAATCCATTGTTCCTCATATATATTGAAAATCCTTTCTTCCCCAATTTTCTTATCTTTTCTTTTTCATCTTCAAGTGGTTTGGAATTTTCACATTGTAAGTTTATTTGTTCTTGGGCAATCTTGGGAAGTTAATATCACCAACTTCAAGTGGTAAGCCATTTTTAACATTCTTGGATAGTTTATGCTCATTATCGTAGTAGTTTTAAGTTGGTTGCTATTATTTCAGGAAATTCAAGTGGGGTTGGGGCCTTGTGGAGAGCTAAGATATCCATCCTATCCAGAAAGCAATGGCACTTGGAGATTTCCAAGAATTGGTGAATTCCAATGCTACGACAAGGTACATAATTATCAAAAATGAGTAGCTAAAATCTTGTTCATCATCGACCAAACATGAATTAAGTTGAACATTTGTTATGTAAAAACAGTACATGAGAGCCTCATTAGCAGCTGCGGCTGAGGCGATTGGGAACACTGACTGGGGACTCGGAGGCCCTCACGACGCAGGCCAATACAACCAATTACCGGAAGAAACGGTTTTTCCAAAGGGAAGGCACATGGAACACTGAATATGGACATTTTTTCTTAGAATGGTATTCTGGTAAGCTAGTCGAGCACGGAGATAAAATCCTGTCAGCTGCACAAAGAATATTCGAAGGAACCAGAGCTATACTATCAGGAAAAGTAGCTGGAATTCATTGGCACTACAAAACAAGATCGCATGCAGCTGAATTAATTGCTGGATACTACAATACTAGGAATCGAGATGGTTATTCGGCAATAGCATGAATGTTAAGTAAATGTGGAGTGGTGCTCAATTTTACGTGTATGGAAATGAGAGACAAAGAACATCCAGAGAGGGCAAATTGCTCGCCTGAAGGTCTAGTTTGAC